CTGAAGTCCTAAATCTTCCATGCCAGGGTTTTGAGAATCATATAAGATGTCTTTTCCCTCTGCAACCCAATCTAGTGGAAGGTGTCTCTGCCCATAGCAGGGGGTTTGGAACTAGATGATTTTTAAGGTCTCTTCTAACCCAAACCCTTCTATGATTCTGTGTGTCCTAATTTATAGCTTGAAACTGTTCAAAATCAAAATGAAGTTTTAATAGAGGTTAGTTAATTTTCAAATCAAATAAAATATTCTACTGTCATTTGATCTAAGCTTATTACTTCTTAAAAGGTTTTGGTTTGGCTGCTCAAATGAGGGTCACATTTTTCAGACTTTCAGTCTTGAACATTGCATGGAATTTGTGGCTGTAATTTTTCCTCAGAGAATAGAATTGTGCAAACAGTATAGCATATGTGGCAATTCCTCATCTAAAAATTGTGAACTACGAAGCAAAACATCTTTGTATGAAAGCCTGTAACTTTAACTGCTTTTAATTCCAACACGTTTCAGATTAGTAAAGCTTAAACTGAGATATATTGAGCCTTTTTTTAGACATTTGGATTTTATCAATCAAGAATGGATACTCCAACATAAAATCTTAAAAGTAGGGGAAATACTTTGCTGTAATTTCTTCAAATCTCTTTTCTACTTTTCTAAGTGTCTTTAAAAATACCCAGCCTAAGGATTGCTTTCTTTATTGACTCCAAATGTAAGTTGCTATAGCCGAGAGAAGAAATAATTTTATTTTTGATCTGAAATACCGTCATCAGGCTCTGGACTTCACAAGTGTGGCTGATGTTTATTTTTAACATGTTAAATCAGAAAGGAAGCAAAAATGGTCATTTCTTGAAATATGATTTGCTGAACTCTTAAAAAGAGTAATTTAGAAGGGTATCCTGTGACAGGAAATGACAAGCTACCTTCACCTTGGTATATTGATTTAGGAGCGAGATGCTTGTGAAGAAAAAGCAATACTTTGTTCAAGTCACTGGACAGTCTGAGGATTTGAGGAGGAGGCAGGGAGGGGCTGAGGGTTTACACTAAAGGCCATAGTCATCAGACTTTAAAATAGCATGTGTGGCCTTTTTCAGTGAAAATAGAGAGTAATGCATCTATAAAAAGCAAAGTAAAATACCAGTTGACTGCCTCTTTTATGCCATACACATCTTTGAAGGTTAAATTTGTTATTTTAGAAAAACATATGGTAGGTTTGCAAAGAAAACCCAGGTTGTTTGGCTTCAGGTTTTCATTATGTGAATCAAAAAGTCATCTCACACTGAAGAAGTAAAAATGCTCACCTTTAATGTCATTACATTAATGAACTCAAGTGTGCTAACTTTTAAAATTCCTTTAATAACATTATCTAGTGCTTAATATGTAAGCAGAGTTTGTAAACATAAATGTGGCTGTTATACTAACTTGCAACTATAAAAGGAAATTCACTGGTTCGCAAAAGTGAAAAGAACTGAAAGTCTATGTTGCAAACCTTCGTTAAAACTTTCTCTTATACATCCAGTTTTCCACTAAATACTGTGGGTTTTTTAATATTAACATTTGTCAGATATAAGCAATGGGCAAAATCACTAGTGACCTTTTGATTTTATGGGATTATTGAAAGAAAATGAAAGAAAAAAAGATATAAAAACTTGAATAGAAAAATGAAAGTAGGCATCTTATCCTCAACATGTAATACCTGTAATGAAAGGCAAGTTTCTCAGAAGTTGAGACATCTCTGAATTTCCTGAAATAGTAATGCTTAAAATGTGGTTGTCTCATTTTTTTAACCTTTTTTGGATTTTTCAGTTTCTAATGCTTTAGCCATATATTATGTAGCATGAGGAGGATCTTTTTGTTTTCTTCCTCTCTGAGCAGCAGTGGAGCTCAAATGCATAAAGCCAGAATTATTAAAATATTAGTATATACTAAAAATCAGACTTGGTAATGGGCAAAAATGCAGGGAACCTTTAAAGCATTTTAAAAGATCTAATTTTATTCATCCAATGTTGAAAACACTCTCGTTGCTCTATTTTATCTCTACCCAAATCTATTAAGTTCTTTCGAAGTATGAAGACTTCAGGTCTTTCAAAAACTCTCTTCTCTCCCTGGCTGACTTGAAAACTCTCTTTGCAATTACTGTTCTTTAGACATTTCAGCTGTTTGTTTGGATCTCTAACAAACTTTCACAATTAAAACTAGTAATGAATGTTCTTTAAGCTATGCAATATATTTATCTTCAATTTTATTTAGACCAGGGTCCAAGTATTAGAGACATCATTATTTTTTACATATGGGGGTTTTTTACAGTTAAAATCAATAATGATTATTGCAGGTCCAGGCAATTGGATACTGTTTTAGGGTTTTCCCCTTTTTATGCCTCTGTACTCCCTCTAAAATATAGTGAAAATGACACTTCCAGGGATTCCTATTCTTTATCTGTATTTTTTTTACACTACAGCCAAACTGCCATCCTTTCTCCATTCTTCTAAAGGTTATTCTACCTACTGAAAGTGTTTTCTAATGCTCAGAAAATTGTTTACCAAAAATATAATGATTATTTGGGGAGCATTAGAGCTGTTGGGGAGCAATATGTTCTGCCTGAATTAAGCATCCGGTGTTCTGTGCCAGCACTTGGCGTGTGCTGTTGGAATTAGGATGATTAACTAATCTTTGATGCTTCTGTTTTTCAAGTGGATAAGTGCTCAGATTGCAAATATTTTTGACTGAACGTGACAACTTTCTTTGAATGCTCACCTGTGCCTTTGAATTTACTTTCCTTAACCATTTGTGCTTATAAAACTTGTAGACACTTTCAAACAACTGATGGCTGAGGGACAGGGCTGCAGTCCAGGAACATTAATTTTTTTAAAAAAACAATACCCGTGTATGGAAGTGTTGAGAACTCTCAGCTGAATTCATTGCTCTCAAATACTTGCATCTGAAGTGAACATTTGGAAAGGGTGGTTAAATTTAATTTGTAGAGTTGAGAGAACACTGTTGGGTTTAGTGTTTGTTTTTATTTGCATCTACATAATTTGCTGACTACTCTTAATGTCTCCTTTCCTCCTCTTCTACAAAAATTTGCTTTTATATCTCAGGCACTTTTTTGTTTTATATGTATATATACAAACGAATTTTAATAAGAACTGACAGCTTTAATGGTTTAATGAACGCACACTGTTAAAAGGCAACTGAGCCATAGTCATGGTATAAAGTATTTAGGTGTTCTTACACTTATAACTTCGTTGTGGAGTTTAGTAGCTCATCAGTTCATTCACAAATTAGAAGTTTTACTCACTTATGAGATTTTTTCCCTGCTAAATGTATTTTTAATCACAGTATGGTCATAGTTTATTCTGAATATGTTATTCTGTAGTTTTCTATTTCAAAGAAAGCATAGCATTTTCAGAGAAGCATATTGAAATGAATGTAAAATATCTTGAAAAAACATGTTTACCTGATGATCACAGCTGAAAAAAGAGCACAATGATACAAAAATGCAGGAGTGAGAAATATTGCTTCTTTTGGGGGCTGTGGCACCGGGAAGTTCCTCACTACTAAGATTATATCATGAGATGGTGTTTGGATATTGCTTTGCTGCACTGTGATAACCTGGACAGTTCATGTCTGAAGGAATTGTATACATCTGTTAATTAGTTTACAGTATCTGCCTTATGGTATCAAATCACTTGGGCCAAACATCTCATACAGGAAACTGGTAAATAAACATACAGGTGTTCCTCCCAGCATGCAGATTTATAAGGAAGTATTTTTATCATTGAAAATCTATTTCTAGTGTCTTTGTCTGTGACATAAGATAGAATGAGTCATATTTCAGAGCCTGCAGGGCTGAGGGTTTTTCCCACCAGTGTTCGTAAGTGTGTTCTGTGTTCCTGAAATGGGAGCTATGGCCGACCTGAGTGTGCACAAGGTGCTGAGCCAAAGGGAAAATATCACTGAATGTGAACATGTTGGAAGTGAAGAGGCAGCAACCCTTGAGTTGTGCAGACAGAACAGGAGAAAGAGGGAGGAGCTGGCCCAAGGAATAGAATAATATCAGCTATTTCATATGGGGCTATATCAATTGACTGTACCTTGCTGAATAGCTTAGGCCAATATGAGAGCATAATCCAACATTTAATGGATGATGAAGATCATCTGTGCCCGTGTGTTTTCACAAAAATGAAACAGGATATCTTATTTTCTCATGTAAGTGATCTGTGATAGCCTTTTCCTGTCTTTTCTCGCTACAACTAAAAAATCAGGGGAGAGAAATTTTTAGAGATCTGGGAGCTAATAAACTTCTAGTTAATGCAAGCTAGACGAATATAACAGCAAAGCAAATGTTGTATGACTGCTTGGTACTTACACACTTCACTAGCACCTGTTGATGGCCAATGCTGGAGGCAGGCCTGAGACCACAACATGCTGATACCGCCCCTCCAGCAGGGTCATTTTACCTGCTCATTACCAGACCTGTCCCAGACTAAAATGAGATGTTAGGGATGTTGTTTTCTCCAGTTTAGTACTAGAAGGAATCTACCAGGTCATAACATTTAGCCAGGTGCTGTTCTGTGGCTAGAGGGCTGGGAAAGGTGAAATTTTACTATAGCTGAAAAAGAGGATGAGAAGCTGGGTCGTTTTGGGGATTTCCCACAGCAGAACAGAAAATTAAAGATGAGAGAAAAAGATGATGACTTCCAGGGCTGGGCATGCCAGCAAATGAAGCAAGAGGGAGAAAAAGCCAAAACCACCACCATCAAAACCTAGAATACCTTCCATATTTCAGTAAAGGATGTGGAAAGATTTCTACCTTTCCAGGGGTCATTCCCTTTGGAGCATGCTGAATCAAGGCACTGTGTATTGCACCACCTCTTTTTTTTTTTTTTTTTTTTCCCTGGACCAGTGCCCCTTTTGTTTTGGAATCATATGGGAGGCCCGTCAGTCTCTGCTTTTATGACTTCATGTACTTTAAGAGGTCTCACTGAACCAAACAGCCCACAGTACTAGAGCACTAGAAGTTTTGCTTTGTACCTGCCAAGTGTTGAAGCACCACATTGTGGGCAGGGTGACAGACTGCTCTGAGAGCATGCCAGATCGGGAAAGAAAGAGGCAGCTGCCTGGATATAACAAATGAAGGTCAGGAGGATATGGGGTGACAGAAAGGTACCCAAGCATGATTGGTTGTTTAGTGTCCCATGGGGACTTCTCTGGTAAGGCTGGATAACGAGAAAACAGCTTGGGTTTTCTCAGACAAGGTGGGATCTGTGGTTCACCAAATGTTACTCAAAAAAATGGTGAATCATAGATGATGTGTGGATTTTGACATTTCCCCCACCTATAAATACTGTTCTTACCTCACAGGACATAAACTTCATTGTATTCTAACACTAGAGGGTCTTTTCTGGCTTTATGATCTGTCTTACAGACTTGATAACCTCTCCCTCAAGACCCTGTAAGATGATATTAGCCAATAGTGCTAATATCAAAGGTGCTTTATTGAATATGATCAAGGAACCTGTAATGTCAATACAAGGGGCATTTGTTTTGCAGCTTGTTGGCAGCCAGCCAGTTGCTATGCAGTTATGGAGCTCCTTAATGTTGAAGTGGCTTTAAAAGTGTGGTGAAAAAGACTGATGGAAGGCCTACAGCTCTAGACTGTGCAGGAAAGGGATTGCTTGTGTATTACAAAGGCAATATTTTTTTGGTTTATGTTTTAAAGAGGAAGAAAGTAAAGAAAAAAAGGAAGGAAAGAAAAAACAACTGTATTTTGTCAGCTGTATATGCCAACCTGGCAACCAGTGAGAATTAGTGAAATGTTACCAGTGACCTCTTTTCTCATGAAAGAGTAATAAATTGAGGTAGAAAACTTAACATTAAATATACAGTAGAATAGCAGAAAGTCTTGTGACCTTCCTTATTAGGAATTTTGTGCCTCTGGATTTGAGTCCTTCTTGTGGTGGCAGGCAGAAACATGAGACGTTTCAGTCCTGACTTGATTCACACAGTGAGGGCTGAAAGTAGCAGCTGCCCACGTGAATGACCAAAGGTTGAATTCTTCAACTGTAAATTATGCATTCAAAGGAGGCTTAACAGCAAGTTATTTTGCAATTTGTCACGTTTATGTCCTAGCGGAGACTAGGCTTGTGAGAAGTAGTAGCACCTGTGTACCTTGGGCAGTCACACACTTTGTTTATGGATGTTTCTTCTGGTACCATTCAGACAAATCGCTTTAAAACTGCAGTGATATTGTCAGTGATATCTTCTAATGGTGTTGAAAGTATGGAGCTGTCTGAAGGCTGTTTTGATGAGCCAGCTGAAAAACAAACAGTAAAGTTTTCTCTCTACAGTGAGATTTTAGAGACGTGCTGCAGGAGTTGGTGTATCATCCAGTTGTATAAAGACCAGATAGAGATGGAGGCATAGAATATCTGCAAAAGGGATAGATTATTTTTACTCAGTTTTCTGTGTGAATGAATGCTATTCAAGTTATTATGTTGTCTCGGTGGATTATGCGTGTTAATATATTTACATTCAGAAAATGTGTATATCAGTCTCTTCTAGCACTCTGTCACCTGTACAAAATAAAGCATGTGAATAGTAAAATTCAGCCTTGCCTTCACTCTACTTTCTCAGTCCAAAACCAAAAAAATCCCCCAGTTAAAACTTTAAGCTACACTGAAGTGAATGAAATAAGAGTTCATTGGTTTGGCATATTATCAGCTCATGCTATTGTTCCCCATGAAAGCAGAGATAAATTGTGAGTAACACACAGTGCATGGGAGCAGAGAGAGAGGCCTGAAAGGAGTGTCAGTGAAAGCTCCTCATCTTATTGCAGTTGCTGGCACAGAAATGAGAAAACTTTGGTTTACACTATTCTAATCTTAATGCTTTAATATTAATATTGTTTACAAAAGCTGAACTCTATCTTAATATTGCAAAATGAGTTTACACGAAGTCTGAAAGTGCAGGATGAAAACTGGCTTCTCTGCTCTGACACAGTATGTTGTGGCATGGCACTGGCAACCTGGAGAGAGGAAAGGGGAGTTTTTTTTCTGCGCACATTTTCTTGTGGAGGGAGAGAAAGAACTTGTGATAGCTGACAAGCTGGTGTTTAGTGTTCACACTGACAAATAGATGCATATCCATGTATGAGAAATTTCCAAACAAGTTTTTAGTGATGTATAAAACTAAACAGTCAAATGTTTATGGTCTGATAAGGGGATGTATTTGCTTAGGGTTTTGAATGAGCATGTTGAAATCAAAAAGATGAACTATTTCTGATTTTAGTGGTTTACACATTCGTTGTTTTAAAAATGAAACTAAAATGTATAAAATGGCTTTTTCTTTATAAGGCTGTTTGCATGCACAGTTTAATTAATATGTGCTAATTTAAATATTTTTGCAAGAAAAATAGTCTTTATGGTCTTTGCAGGCTTTTAAAGCTGGCAAATATACTCATTAACTGAAAAAGATTATGAAATAAAGTTTCTAATTAAAACAAAATGTTTAAATAAGTTCTTAGTGTCTAAATTAAAACTTTAATTTGAATTTAGATTATATCCATAGCTTTAGTTGATATAAAAGTATAAAACCTACAAACATTAAATAAGTAACTGCTTTTTTGAGAGTAGTAAATGCAGAAAATCAGATGTATTTTTGCAATAGAAAAATTCTGTATTGGTTCTACATTTGAATGTTTATCTCATCTGAATTTCTTGCATGAGAAAATGGATGAGATGTTTTATGAATTAGAAAAGTGAAAAGAAAACATAAACCATAGGATGAACTTGTCTGATGTTTAAACACAAACATTAAATAGCTGAACAGTCTTGTCATTGTTCTAAAAAGCTTATAATTATGCATTGAAAGTAGAAGTGAAGCTTTTTTCACTAAATGCTATAAAAACATTGCTGATAATAATCTTCTGATTTTTACAGGATAAAAAGTGTAATGAAAAAGTTAAAACCTGGGATTTCAGAATTTTCCTTTGATATAGTCTCCTAAATAAATAAAGGAAGTAAAAATAGCTAGTCACCTACTTACGTTATTGTCTTTGTTGCCCCTTTTTTTTGAGAAGTTCTGGGTACTGGGTGTTTTTTCCCCTACAGAAAATTCTTCAGTCTTTTCTCTCTTACTAACCTTCCAAATCAGCATCCAGTGTGCCCTTCTGAACTGCTGTAGCAGTCAAGTAAGCCCAAGTGGTTGTCATTCTTAGACCATAAAATTTTCTAATAAGGAAATTAATTGTGAATTCCCACTTAGTTTTACCTGTTCACCTAATTTTTGGTATTGTCCTCTTTCTTTACAAATTCCATTCCTTATTTTTCCTGTATTCCTGTAATATGGAACCTCTTACAAAAATGAAATTAACATATTTGAATCCGTGCTCCAGCCAGATGAACTGAATTTGTGGCATCTCATTCTAAAGATACATTGCTTTAAAAGTTTTGTTGCATTTTACATACCCCCCCATGTGCATTAGCACATTTAGTAATATTAGCTACATAACAACAGTGGTTTCAATCTTATTATTCATGCATTTGTAATGGTTTTTTGTTGGAGGGAGAGGAGATACTGACTGTTGTGTTTATGCAGTGGCACAGCCATTCCATAATCAAGTGATGTTAATAAACATGAACTGATTAGAGTGTCCTTTTTCCCCTCTGAGTCTGTCAGAGCCACAGAGACCAGCCTTGATACTCCTCCTGGCTGCCACACAAACTGTAGTTGAGGTTCTGGGCTGGGCATGGTTTTTAGTGCCAGAGCTCTGGGCTGTTTGGATGCAGATTCTTGGATCAGCTGATTCTCTCTAAACCCTGATCATTCATTTTGCTGTCGTGCTCATGAATGCCTCTGAGCTAACCTTTCTGGATGAAAAGAGTTTCTTTTTAATCTAAATTTAATCCACTCCTCTCTATGATTAATTTGACTGAATGGAATCCTGTGGTTGTGAACAGCCTTCTATTTTTAGCTGGAAAAAAAGTTTTGAAATAGATATTTTGCTGGTTTTTTTCCCTTTGATTGTAGACAGTATGCCTGTTACTCAGTAAATACTTCTTTTCAACTTTAGTCCTTACAGGCTGTCTATTTAACATCCTCCTAGTAATGTTAACAACCTGTGCTTTTTGAGGTCAGAGTATATAGCAATGATATTATATTATATTCTTTTTCAGAATTAGCTATATACTGATGTTATAAAGGCGTTTCTGTGACCTTTAGCCATCACTCTCGATCTGCATGATTTGATATAAATAAAAGCACTTCTCTTTTTTCAGGGACGGGGGTGGGGGGAGCAATCTTTGGCCTTCTGTATGGAAACTGGTTTGTGTTTTCGTTAGAGAAAGGTCTAAAAACAGGTGACAGTTTAAAATTTTTGAATCCTACAATTGTCTTTTACCCCAAATTAAGTTCGGGCATGTTCCATGAAATAGTGGTCTATATTACTAGTTGCCAGACTGTGTCATGGACAGGTTCTTCTGCTGCAGTTGTCCTCGTTCTTTTCTTTATAACTAATAGAGAGTGTATAACTATTATAACTAGATGAAAGTGTACAATATTTTTAATAATTTAGAGCATATGTCAGTTTAACACACACTGATTTTCTGGGCTGCTAATATACTCTTAGTTACTATCTAAGGAAGTATCAGTTCATTAAATATTTTACTGCAATTTTGAAGAATTGTGTAAGTGAATAAGGTTAAAATATATTATTGTTAATGCAGTGTCAGTTTAAGTTGTCAATTGGGTGGATTTCCAGAGTCCTCTGGGAAATGAAACAAACATTAAATTTCCCAGAAAAGTCATTAGATAGTGGCTCTTGGAAAAAAACAGAGCTTTCATGTGTTTTGCAGTTTTTAAGAAATACTTACTTTTTTAACTTTCTTGTAATGCAACAGAACATGGGATGATTCAGTACAATGGACTGTATATAACTGTACTACCTATTCATCTTGCTACATTGCATAGAAAAAGATCACTTTTTTTTTTCCCTGCTGTGAAGTTTTCAGTAAAGATCAGTTTAATCTTAGCATGGGAAAGAGTATATACTGACCTTTTTGGTCACATCGGCTACCACCACACATTCAGGTGTGTTTTGATTTTTGTTCTCTAGACAAGAATTGTACGCCTAATTTTAAGATCTTTGAGATATTATCTCATTCAACAGCCTGGTGGGCAGATATTTGTAAACCTTCTCCTGAGTGAGTCTTTTAATTTTTTTTTTTTTTTTTTTTTTTTTTTTTTTTTTTTAGTTTTTCTTTTTCTTTTTTTTTTTTTTCCGGAAAGGTGGAAGTGGTAAGAAACCGTTAAACTAGTGGTTAAGAATGTAGGTGTCTGTGGGTATTGATGGGAAATAGTCGTTAGAGGAAAGCTGCATCACCACACAGGAAGAAGCATAAAACTCTTGAAAGCATTTTCTCCAGCTGTTGTGGAAGAACAATTCAGACAGTAGAATTTGAAAGCCACAGATCTTATACCTCATTGATAGCTGAGAGGGTCCTTCCAGAAAAAGGACTGATTAGCTGCAGTCTTTTAACAGCTCTCTCCCAAAGACTCAGCAGTTTCGCAGAAAAGATAGGTTTAACAGTAGGGAAACAATAAATTGCAAATACATAATTAAATTTATACAGGATCATCTTCAAGCTTTCCAGTGAAAAACACAAACTGTGAAAGAAAGTAGTGGATCTTTGCGTTTTGAAACAGAATATGGCTCCATAATTTATTGTAAACCTGTTTGCCACTGAAATATTCTGCAAACATTACAACTGGTTAAACTGCTGCAAAATTTACATTTAAAACCATTTATGAGTGTAACTAACTCCCCTTCCCCCAGACAAAAAATTTCTTTATTCTTTCAACTATTACATTTTGCATTAAGGCCTGGGCAAATTTCCCTGTGACTTGCAGTCATTCAGTTATCTGCAGGAGCTGTGAGCTGACAGCTAGGTGTTCCTCTTTCTTCTCCCGCTTCCCCTAGTCTGTCTCAAAATAGAAAGACTATTTTTCCCATATAAATGTCCAGTGCTCTGCCATCAAGTAACTTCAGCACTTATTTCCCATGACATGTTGTTGGTAGCTACTCTATTTCTAAAAGATTGCCCACTAGCACCCTTGGAATAAATATTTGCAAGCTTTCTTTGAAGTATGTATTTGGAGACAAAGCAGACCAGCATGCGCTTTAAGCCAATATTTTTCTTTCAAGTGAAATTCAAGGGAAGCAATATTACAGTTTATAAGAGTAGTACATGATTCACTTAACGGATGGTGCATTTTATAGTCCCACTCCTTTTACTGACCTATTACATCATCACAGGCAAGGTATTTCATCTCTCTGCTTTTGTCCTTCTGAAGGCAAGGCTGGTCACTATTTTTTCGGTTTGTATATTTTGAAGCAACATTTAGTAAATTCTGTCTCATGTAGTGAATATGTGTTCATGTATGGTGTCAGCTAAAGAGGAGGACCCCAGGATAAGAGAGAACACAGTATAGTCTACGGTTCTCTGTGATATTTAACCTCAGTAAGAACAATCTTAGGAAAAGCAGTTTTTCCACAATGTGGGCAACCCCAGAACTGTAAAAATACATAGATGATGATGCATTTGGTATGCATTAGCTTGACTTTAATGTCCTGACCCAGAAACACTCTCATACTGACAATCTGGTTTTTATGTGAAAGAAAAAACTAATGGGGTTAGTATATACCTACCACAGGACAGATGTTGCTATTTGATACCAAGAACCAAATTGACTACACTGTCTTTACTGGAAATCCTATTTAACATTTTGCTTGTGTTAATATTTCCATGTGCTGATCCTCCCGGGCAACACCTCAAAGTACTTGTATTTCATCACTAAAAAATTTTAGTCTTGTTGAAAATCATAGGGACTTGAATTTTTGAGGTTGGTTGTTATGTTTTGTTTCAAGTTTCACCAATTACTACATCAGAGCAATACATAAAACAAGGGATTTAACTTCTTTGGACAGATATCCAAAAGGTATGTGGTTTGAAACATGGGAAACAAGGCATGACTCTTCTGTGCCACAGATACCAGTGTCATTTTAGCAAGCCATTTAATATTTCTGTTCCTCACATCTCCACTAAGGAAAGGAAAATTGTGGTATTTCTCTGCTTGGAAATAGCACCTTACAGAGGCTACTGTATTTCTGGTTGTTTGTAAAATATCTTTGGTTGCCTTGTTTCCAGACCCTCTGTTCTCACATATCGAACTACTATTATAACTTTAGAGAAGCGTCTTGCCAAAGTCTGCACCTAGGTGGGTACATCAGGTGCTACTGCTGTTCTCAAAGGGTCAGTTGAGAAGTATTTTAAAGGAAATGAGGTTCTGTGTCATTGATGTTTTACCTCTTCTAATTCAAACACTAAAAGAAAACAAGTACCAAGATTTTTGTCGCTTCTGTAGTGGGGATGGGAGTAAAGATGCTGCCCTTCTGTGTCTATATACTTCATACATGAGTACTATGATACACTAGAGATGTATATTCTTATAAGAACAGATGGTATCTGTCCATAGTCCAGGCAGCCTGTGAAAGCCAAAAAACTTCTGAAACTCTTCCAAGAATAATGACTTGTTCCCCAAGACAAACTTATTCAGGATGCAGTTACCAGACAAAATTCAACATTCTCTATTAAGAGAAGCTGTTTGAGCAAAGGCAGTTATTACACGCTATGACATTTTGAAAATGAAATTGATGGATTCTTCTCGCATCTGGAGCAGACACTAATGGAAACTCTTGTGAATGTGCTGAGACCATTTGAACAAGCTGCTAAACAGCACAGAAAAGCCAAGTCATACCACCCCTTCTTATTCTGTGATCGTGGGTGCATGACTGCTCTGCTCCCCACCACCCTTGAAGTCATCCAACAAGGAATCACATTTGTTGCCGAAACATTTAGGGGAGAGAAAAAGAGGGTGCAGGATATTTAAACAATTTTTCAGGTTTAGAAAAAAGTCTCCATTTTTATGGGAGTTTGCTTCTAAATCCCTTTCTTTGAGAAAGCTAATGGAAATTTAGTGTCGCGGGTAACAAGATTAAGTGGCCGCATATATCTGAAGAGTTGTAGAACACTCATGTTCCTTTGGCTACCATTATTTCTATAAATTCTCTTTGAAACATTGCTTGGGGGTAGGCAGAAAAAACTGTATTTGTTGAAGCAAGCAAAGGAAAGAAGTCACATCCTTTTGCTGTCCTTTGCCCCTGCTAACTCGTTGAGCCCAACTTAAAACATAATTCGGATACTTGTCTGTTGGGATTTCAAATAACCATCTGGCTAACTAATGTGATAATTAAGTGTCTTGAATTCCATCCCAATAATTTGTCATTTAAAACAACAATAACAACACTTTAGTAGTTCAAGCTTTTTTAATTTTATTTTTTGTTAATTCTGTGCAGGTCATGTTTAAATTTCAAAGCCCAAGTAGCTAGGCCATCAGACAGACTCTACTTTTTGAATCGCTGATACACATTTGTTAAAGTCACTCAGATACTATAAAGAACTGGATAATTAGTCTTTAAACAAAAACAAACAAATAAAACCCAAAACCCCCCAAAAAACCCCAAACCAAACCAAAATCCCCTCAAAATTCTCAAAGAGCCTGTTTTGGAAAGGAAATTTATTTCTGAACATGAATTTATTATTCCTTAATTTCACTGAATGGACAGGATAATTTTCTTGTATTGCTTGCAAACTCTTCATAAACTCTGTGCAGGTGAATTTGTTTTGTGGTTGTTCCCTGTTCACACTCTGGTTTGTTTGAAAATATATTGCTAAAATTCTGAACAGTTCCAGTACAAATGATGAAATTTTCAAGATTTTAATGTATTTTAATGCTATATAAATATTGTGGAGCGATAGTGTTATAGAGCAGTGACCAAAAGTTGGGCCGCTCTGTGCTAGAAGATAAGACCAACACAGGGCTGAGGCAAATTTCACCAGTGTTTCCTCTTCACACAGACCCCTCTGAACACAGTACACACTGTTCCTCACAACACCTTCCAATGGAGCAGTTGGTGAGTTGCTGAGTGACTGAAAAGTGCTGGCTTACACCAATAATTCTACTAAACTTGGTGAGGAAACTTGTGATATAGTGCTACTAGAAAAATAATCTCTTCATATCTTCTACTGATTTTTTCACTGGTACAAAAAGAGTTTGATTTTTGTGAAAATCACATAACCAACACGTGATCTTAGTACAGCATTCTGTAGTGTGTGTGTTTCTCTGTGTCTAAGACCTATGGACTGTTTCCTTTTAGCTGACATATTTTAGGGAATGAAGTGAAATAGGTATTTGATAAAAGAATCAGAATGGCACAGGTGCTAGCTTGAAATTGTTTCCTGTTAGTCACTGGAGTATTCCTGCTTGTGCTGGAAAGCTGGACTAGATGACCTCCAGTAGTCCCTTCTAACCTTTCCCATTCTATGATTCTGTGATTTCTGATTATTACACTTGTGAGGAGGTGTACATAATTATTGAACACAGTTAAGGATTAAAAAATTCTGCAAAAATGTTATCAGCATCTGTATTTAAACCAATCATATAGCAAACTGCTGTTTTGACCAGAGAGTTGGACCAGATGATCTTCAGAGCTCATTTCCAAATTAAGATATTCTATGTCAGATATATTTTAATTAACATTACCCTGTCCACTAGTCTTAATTACCTGAAAACAGAACTCCTTGTGGGGATGCTCTTGACTTCAGTGAGTTATCCTGGAATTAAGGAGAGCAGGAAGAGAGGATCCCAGAAGACTCAGGTATTTGGGTTAATTACCGGACATGTGGTAACACAAGTTGAGGTCTGACCTTTGATTTGGAAAATAAGTGGACCACTTCTCTTAATCTTCCTTTATTTTAATTGATTGTGAAAGGTCTGTTTGATTTTGATGTGTAACGAAAACAAATTATGGAACATCAAAAAATGCTGCAAATCTGGCAATTCCTGGTTTCTTGCCAGCTGTACTCAACTGGATCTAGTTAGAGGAAAACAAACCTTATATAGTCCTATTGTTTCCTTTTCTCTCTTAATTATAATAGAGAATTGCTTAATGATATTTCTTTCAAATTATTTCATTCTAATTAGGAATGTCTATTAGTTACTTCAACATAACATTCTGAAGAGATATATATGTACTTATGGTTTCACAACTATTTTAGGTAGATTAGTTCTTATGCTTCAGTCAAAACTGTGTTGAGGAGGAGGTGGGCCAAAGAGCTTATAAGGACTAACAACAATACGAAAAGCTATCACAAGAATTTCAATAATAAGGGTAAACTTTTTTATTTTCTGAGGGTAGATAGACATAAGGTAAGAAAAGGTATGAAAATCTCATGTGTTTTGTTCTTCAGCCATACTAAAATAGAAGGGGCAGATAGATAGGGCAAAGGAAATTCAAAACAAAATTTTTTCCAGGGAAGAGTCAAGTATTTAAACCTTCCATATCCCAACTGAATGTCCAAAGCAAAGGTGTCTATAGAAACCACTTCTTCTGTAGCCCAATAAATTTTTGAGGTCAAGAGACTAAGTAGCTCACTGGATGACTCTCAACAAATGAGAACTATGATCTCACTTGGTGTTGGATAAAATGAGGGAGCATCAGGCTGCCAGAAAAATAACTGCACTTCTTATTGGTGCAGTGAATGTAGCTTTGAATAAATGTTGACGAGACAGTGTCTCTCAGAAGTGAGATGGAACCAAATTAGGACCCATTATTAGGAAAAACACCATGTTACAATTTACAGTCTAGTCCTAAACTGAATAGTTATCATATGGTGCTAATACTCATTTTGCTCTTCTGTGAAGCAGGTCTGGGATTTAACATCTTGAGATTGGCTTAATCTGGAACATATGTGTTTTCTTTTATTTCACATATGTGTTCTGCATTTCCCTTTTTCCAAGAGCTAGGATCAGCGTGATAGTATGCTGTGATGAGAGAAATACAGAGATCATTGTGATATGGCTATAGAAGCAATATGGGACCTACAATAAAATATCTATGTTCTCTTTTATGGATTTGTTTTGTGGCGCAGGCTAGTGTTTGTTAAGATTAGAAAGCGACAGTTTCCCCTATTGGTCATGGTAAGTGTGTGTATGTGTGTTCCATCTCCCCAAAAAGCTTTAGTAACTTAACCTTTGCTACAAATTTTAGTAAACATTCAGCTGAAGCAGCCTGAAATGATAAACCCTCAGCATGTGTCTGCCTTCTGCCATGGGAATGCTGTGAAGGAGTATTCTATCACAAAGTTTGGGATCACTTAGATTTTTCTGGGTCTTTGTGGCTGGATCTATATAGATCTAGCATTTTAAGACAAAGGACTGAAAGATTTCTTCAAATAAAGGGATTATTTATAGCATTAGTTTATCAAAGTGGAATAAAAAAATTCATATAACTTGAAAAGCATTTCATGTAAAGATGTCATTTCCCTTCAGTACTAAAATATAAGTATATCCCATAATATTTTCTTTTGTTATGTAGAGCTATGTTACAGTATAGTACAAAATAAATTAAATTCCTTGTCATTACAATGTAGTATATGCAATTCTAGCAGAATTGTTTGTCCAATATGATTTTCTTTCTAGTCAGAAAACCCCTAACTGCCACGATGAAACTGTCTTTTCTGGCAAAAGAAGCTCCCTTGATCAGTGCTACTTACCCACAAGGGATTTTCTTTTGTCTTGTTTGGTCATAAGGTTGTCTTACGATGTGAAACTAGTTCAGTGTGGTAAATGAAGTCTCAGCTGAAAACTGATTATGTAGCACAGTGCCTCTTCCCAATGCATTGTTTCCTTTTGCTAGAACCTGTGCTTTTAAATAAGTGAATATGGAAAGTACATTTGAATTATAAATAACCTGTAAAGGAAAATCCAGAAAAAAGACTTGCTGTCTTTTCTAAAACACATCAAACCTCTGTTATGTGTTTGAACCGTCGCATTTGCATGGAAACTCCTCTTTACCCTAGTGAGAATTCAGGGGAATTTATTGGACATATTTGAGCATGCTCACTGATGCTAGGGAGTAAAGACAGGTTATCTAAAACAAACCTTCTATTTGATCTAATCTAGTTTTCTTCAGCCTTCACAAGACTACAATCATAAAATTCTCTTTTATTATAACAGGCACAAAACAAGTCTGGGAAGGGCATTAAATTCTGCTGTATAATTAATATTGGACAGAGTCTCTGTGCTGCTACTCCAAAATGGAACAGTAAAGAGTTGCAAAAATAACTAAGCCCCTGACATCATCCTGCATAAATTGAATGAAGGAGAATTTTCAATCCCTGACTAAAGAAGAAGAAAGGGTATAGGGAGACACTAGAGGGTCACCTGCCTGAGAGGGTGAGCCCTGTACTTTGCTGAGTGTTGATCAAACACCCAGTGAGGCAGAGGAGCAGCCATGCAGCCTCACCTTCACCAGAATATGAAATATATAATGGCAGAAATGTGCAATACTTCCAGCTCTTCTTTCATTCCTTATTCTCCAGGTTGAACAGGGTCTCGAGTCAGGGTTTTGATTCTAGCTTGTAAAGATCAAACTACACAGGCCTAGCCAAGATTTGCCTCAAGAACATTATTTTGTGAAACTTTTCAGCCTCTAAAATGGAAATTCTTATGCAGCCTACACTGCTGTGCAGCAGACATGGCCTCTGCTGAAAGAATAGTGCATAAAGTGTACATTTTTTATCAGTAGCATATGTATGGTGTTTAATTTGGTTGTTTTAAGAGCATACACCTAGGTTATATTTGCCAAATAAAAGTTGACTGGTGATTTGTTCTTAGACTGTTGCGTCTTAACCAGCAGAATGGGTTCTTTACAGCACAGTTTCAAAATCTACGGTCAGAAACTTTACAGAAACATGCTTAATATAAAAAAAATTCACAATCTTTTGTAATGATGCTACACAAATTGAATTTCTTTGGCCACTGTGTTGCATGAAGTATGAACATGTAGTTTTATTATTCACTGAACAAATGTTCACATTTTATTTAGCAAACAAGTTTTCCAATGCAGAAATGCATGTTCTAAAGATGGACCAGGATTAATGGATATGTATAAAAAGGGAGAGGGTAGCAAGGAAGTGTCAAATCAGTATAATTACTTCTGACTGATTATTAAAATGTACAAGCTTAATTTTTTTGCCATTATATTGTCATGTGACTAAAAAACATTCAGTGATGGATGACTAACATTGTGCTGTTATATATACAAATATGTTTGTCAAACTCTTTGTTCTCTGAAATGAAACAAACAGGAAACTGCATGTCAGGTCCTCTGATGATGTGTTTTGTCTTATGCAAAGTAGGAAAGTCTGCATTCCAGTTTGTATTTTTTCCATCTTGTGTTCAGGTTCTATGTCCAAACTACTTCTCCATTTTAGAAGTCAGCATAAATCTATCCCATGCAAATATTTCATTTAAATTGTTATGAGAAAAGCAACAAAAGTTGGTCTTAGTTATTCTAAATTAAGACTATAGTTTTGGAAAAGAAAACAGTCCAAGACAGAAACATAAACATGCTTTCATATCCATATGGTTTATCTTGCCGAGAAGCTAGGGAAAGCTTGATTCCTGACATCCATTTACAAGTATATAAAACCTCTCTAACTTCTAAACTTTTTAAACTTTAAAACCTTTTTAACTTTTTAACTATTCAAAACTTACATTGCAAGGAACTGCCTTGGCAACGAATGAATAATTTATGTGATGGGATTCCACGCTCAATTTCTGTGCTTCTGTGTTATATGTGTGATGTTAGGAAATGTAACTCTTCCTTTCAAAGAGGTGGTTTCACATTTTATAATAAGTCATTTTAACCATTGTTTTTAAGCCTCTGTTTAAATAGAATGAGTTTTTTAGGGCTGGAGTTTTTTTAAGCTTGATTTTGCTTATGCCTTATCTCTGGAAAGAACTGCTGTGAGAGAAAAAAAAATGAAAGTGGGTCTATGGAAGGTATTGCCAAAACAAAACAAACAGAAACAAGAAAAAGAATCAACAAAACATTAAGAATTTTTTTTTTTTTTCTGGTAACTAGGGTGAGTTCACAATTTACAAGTTGGAAACTTGATCAGAAGGACCAACTGGGTTGTCAGACAGACAATTGTGTAACAAGCAGTTAATCCAGGCAGGCCCAGGGGACATCATCTGCTCCTCCTCTCAGAGACTGCACAGCACTTCTAATACCCTGTAACAAGCTTAAACCCATAATAAAAGATCTGTGTTCACAATTACAGTGTGCCACAGAAAGAAGGCAGGAGACCCTGGAAGCTTTATTGGTATCACAGGACATGGCAGTAGCAAGGACTTGCGAAGAAATTTCTAGGTGAGCTTCAGAGGCTCCAAGGTCTAGGTGAGCTTCCTTCTGTGTGAGGAGGGGAGACCCACAGCCCAGGCACTTCTGCCAGGCAGCCCTGTGGGGAAATGCCTTCCTGGCTGCAATCTGGTAATCTGTGAGTGCTTGAGCCAAGCATCTCATAAGCTTCAGGGATTTTTTTTATCAGCCAAAGTTTTCTGTTCCCAGTTCTAGCTACAACTACATTTCCTCAGAAAAGTACCCTGGGCATTAGCTAATATGTCACCTTGGGGAAAGTGGTTGGGGAGAAAAGGTGATGGAAAAAAAAGCTGCTAGGTCCAGCACCAATCAGCGAGAGTGCTGAAGCAAGGGGGAATACAAGCTTAATGCAAAGGTCCTTTTGAACCACTTTGTCACCACCCTCAGAAGGTGTAAGAACAAACTACATGGCTTTAGAGAAATGCTCTCAGTCTGCAGAGAGCCACCTCTCATGTGCTCTGTTCCCCTCCCCACCAAGCTGTTAGGTCAGGCACATGAAGGTCTCTGGATTTTGGTCGCTGTGGCCATAAGGTATGGGACTAGAAAAAATGTAGAAAGGGGATTTTCTATGTTTTGCTGAAGATCAAAGCCAGTCCACATCTAACATCAGCAGCTGGCTTCTGTTATCGTTGAATGAAACAAAAAACAGAATTCAAGGATATTTGTATCATTAGGACAGTCTCCTTGTTGAACACTTCCCAAAAAACTCGTACAATAAAAAGCTAAAAATAAATGTTAACTGCAAATTTGAGATATTTAAGTATTGAGTATTTTCCTTTGTGAATATTCTTGAGAGAAGCCTGTTTTGGAATAAATAATGCTTGATCAAATCAGTTTGCAAGGTGGTTGTTAATCATACATAAGTTAATAATATTGGCTTGTTTTAATTGAAACTTGGTTGAAAGAAGTGTATATTAGCCTGGCTTTGGTCTTTCAGAGCTGCTTTGAACTTTAAGGAAACATATGATAAGGTCATATTTTAGGCCTTTATTAACAACACCTTTGTAGCATTAACACTGAAGTCGAGCACCTTTTTATACCTGACACTTTTTTTTTTCTGTTACACCTTAACATATGGTAATGAGAACGTGACAGGGCTGCACAGCCCAGCTCTCCACACAGAGCCTGCTCTCCTTGCACTGTTACCTGCACAGGCCTGAGCAAAACTAAAAGCATGTTATGTTTTACTCCTTTCTCACCAACACACTGCTAATTTGAACTTAACCTTAAAAAGTTTGATGCATCTTTGATTGTTAAATCAAAACCTGTTTATTAACCAATGTGTGTTTGATACATGTCTGTCTCTAGATGCCTGGTTCTCATTACTTCAGATATTTAACTTGAATGATCAGTCAATTCCCATGAATGATTTAAAGAATTTGATATAAGCTGAAATAAGTTAAATGCCTAATTTTAAGCATAGATAATTGAGTGACCCAGTTCCTTTCTGCTTAAGATGTTCAAAGAGGCTTAATTTCAGTTTCTGATGGATGTGTTGCTGTTTTATCCAACTCTCTTAATCCCAACCTTGTATAAACCCCACATTGGTATATTTTTAAGCAGAGACTGAGCCAGGAGTTTCTGTGCATGTGTGTGTATACTCAGAGAGTCAATGTCATTTGGCAGCCTGAAAACTCTGAATCAGGCTTAGTAGTGATGTTCCTTAGACCTGAAGGGGATACAGTTTCCTGCAGAAGGGTGAAGGAGAAACATTCCTAGCACACTGTCTGACAGAGGGTGATGGAGTTGCTCAAGTCCATTCAGGTCTGTGTTTCAGTGTGGCAGTCTCCAGGCCTTAATCCTTTCGGGTCTCATATGAATTGCTGTATAACTCAGTGGTTTTACATTCAGATAGGAATTTTTTTTATCACTGTCTTAAAGAATTAACCTTTCAGTGGTACTGGAAAAGAACAGTAGTACTGTGATCCTTGTCTTAAATAATGTTATGAACTCTCCACACCAGCTCAAAAACCATAAAAGCTCAAGATCCCAGAAGATCAGCTATGAATCCAGACTTTCCAGTGTGATAAGCTCTCTCCATCTTGGATTTCAGTTCATCCACTCTAGAAATAAAGACCAAAGGATAAGATTTGAAAGGGATTGGACTTGTACAACTGGAGTTGGGCGATGTATAATAGTCTGTGACTGCTTTCTGGTTCTAAAGATAGTGATTCATGAGCTTTGACAAAAATAACTTTGGAGCACAGTTATAACTAGCATCAGTCAAGTGTGGCTCAGTGCATTTTATAGGATTTATACATGATACCTTATTGAAAGTTGTACCATCCAGTATGTGGGTGACCCAAGTAAGTTCTTCTATGAACATCAGAGTCCAGAGTTTTATAGACCCTGTAAATCCAGTGGATTTACATCTCATATCACTAAACTCCTTCTGCCCTTATCTTCTGCTTCCTTTCACTTTTCCGGCTTCTTAGACCCTGGTCCCATTGCTATGCTACCAGGTATCTCCACAACTCTTCAACCTGCTGGACTGAAAATAATTCTGCAGAGTTATTAATATATTTGGTAACTATGAGTGTAATGTAAATTATAGCATAAGTTCACATTGTAAATAATTTAAAAGCATGCAAATACCAAACAAATTTGAAATATACTTAAAATTTTTGTAGGGTTTTCAACTGCCTTTTCACCACAACCTTTTAGGGGGCTGCAGTGCATCCAGATCTTAAATTATAGTGACTCTGAGTAAATAAATCAGACTTGTGAAAGCTGAGAATACTGGCAAACTAAGTAGCACATAGTTCTCTCCAGCAACTACTTGTGATATAAAAGTGCTGATACATTTTTAGCCTCAGTAAACTTTTACAAAGCTTTTGTGAGCTTTAATATAGCCATAAAACTGTGGAAGTTTATATCATATCTTAAGTTTGTATACTCCAGCTCAGGTTCTAGTTATATTCTGGAAAGCCTCAAGCTTTTTTCAGAAAGTTAACTTGGGTTTCCTGTGTGCGAGCACTTTTCCAATCTGCCTTAGAGTAGACTTTTTGATCACTGATTTTTTTGTCCAACATGACTGAAAACATGTAGGTTATTTTTTTGCTTCCCTGTCTAAGCCAATTCATTTCATGTTTGAACCA